TGGAACCAATTTTAAGCGATTGGGGCCTCTCCTCTTCCTTTTTGTCGAAATGCAATGTTGATGCTCACATCAGATTGTTGGCAGCAGTTCAGCTGCTGCGAAACTGACAATTTGAATTTGCTACAGATCAAGTAAGCCCACCTACTAACGGTGGCTTGATAAAACCTTTTGACCAAGCACACACCCGAAAGGCACGACGTAAGATCGCACAATTTCGGGAGATTGCTCAATCCTTCATCTTTTTTGTTGCATGTCTTTTGCAATATACTCCACAACTGACTTGGCGACTTCAACGGATGTTGTTATGGTCTCTTAGTCAATGGACAGTTTTTGGAGTATGTTTGAATTCATGGACAAACAAGCGACGACGACTGATGACTATCCTTCAACATGCACGACTTCCGTTTAAATTCTCATGGACATGGTGGACACAAACATCAGTTATTTACATGCGTTTGGATCTCTGGGATGCTGATTTTTACATTGGAGCCACAGAACATTCTGTTTTTGACCGAGAACAGAGCCGTATGCGGAAATTTCGTCAACTTGGTAACCAACAACTTGCGTATTTCGAGCCTGCCCTAAAAGTTTGGTTCCACCTGAACAATTTCTACAGGTTTGGCTGTTTTCCTTTACAACAGCAAAACCTTGACAAATTGTATGCCATGGAAACGGCATTTCAGACGACGTACCGGCCTAAATACAATTGGCCATGGATCAAGCCTTTCTTACAGAAGTTCCATATTGGGAAGCAGCGGTTCGGGCCCTCAGTCTCCAAACCCTTTCTTGAAAAGACTCGAAAGTTTTGTCGTCGATATTTGAAGCGAACGGCTACAAATCAGCGGTGCGTTTTGGGCCTCAGATTTCATTCTGCGGATCGAATCTACACATTACTCACTCGTTTAGGCTCTGACACCATCGAAAAGTTTCATGTTTCCAAATTACTGCGTTCATCACAAACAGACATACAATATCTTTTCTTGCTTTGGAGACTTTCCCATCAATTGGGAGAACCTTTTCGTACACGCTGTCAATCACAACTTCGTTTGATCCTCAGATTTAAGGGAACGGAATCTCCGCCACCCAATGTGCCTATGCGACTTCAAGTTCTATCTGACGACATGAACGATGCGATAAAACAGTGGCTTCTGAATTTCACTTTTCATCATTCCATCAATTTCCCTCCGTTTCACAAAGTACGGGCACCATTTGTGCGCATTAAGAATCGGACGTTGGGACAAACATTTTTCAATTTTCGAAAAGTGTTGAAATGGTGGACACCTGAACAGCAACCTTTGTGTACATGCCACCTCTTTCCTTTGCATATTCGACAATGTGAACGAAAAACCGAACATATTTCTGTTTTTGCACAAGAATGCTTTCCTGATGAAGCATTTCTCCATCAACATATGGCTGAAGAGATTTCACCATCATGGAGACACTTCTTTCACCATAACACGTATCAATTCGAACAGTGGCTGCATCGATGGAAGCTATCACATTCATTGATCCAATATTGGCAAGCTTTCATCCTGACACAGTGGAAGATCTATAAACAGAATTCTCTCGGACAGACCCAGAAACAGATTCAGCGACTTCAACATCGCTTACGTTCTTTTGTAGTCTCGCCCTCAGATCATTTTCCGCATTCTTTGACATTACACTGTCCTGCTCAGTGGCAATATTTGATGAACCGAACGTTCCTGGATACTTCGGTATTTCTTCGCTGCCAAGCGTATCCTATTCCGTTATTGAAGCACATTCAACAAAATATCCCTGACTGGATTATGCAACACTACAAATGGGGCTTCAAATTTGGATCCACTCTCAGCACCGCATACATTCTCCCAAAACCATCCAGGTTATTTCAAAAAGCAAGACCAATTGTGGATTATTCTCGAGCATGGTGTCGACCAATTGGAAGTGCACTAGCAACAGCGTTATATGAAATTTTGCAAGTTGTATATTCTGATCTCCTATCTGTTACGGATATCAAGTCGGTGCTACATGCAATTGCCAAGTTGTTTTCCCACCAAGACTACGCTTATGGTGAACTCACTGTGGAACAAGAAGACATTGCTGGGTTTTACAATCAAGTTGATCATTCTCGTATGTTACAGGCTGTTCAATTTGCTGTGTGTCGGTTTTGTGAACTTCAAGGACAAACATTTGACTCTTTTCTCAACATTCATCAAGAGACTACGGAACGCACTTTACGAATTTTTCGTGGATTTTGGCGGTCACATAGCCACAAATACCGACCAATTTGTCTTGCCCATATACAACCGCTCAGCCAATACCTTTTGAATCATAGTTATTTCAGTATTGGAGGCACAGTATTCCAACAGCGTCGTGGTGCAAGTATGGGTTCCCAATGGGCACCCATTTTCTGTTCAGCAGTTGCATTACTCAGAGAATGGATTTTTCATTCCTATTTTCAGGTCTTTCGCACAAACATGAATTTTCATCATCGGTATGTCGACAACCGCTTGATTCTAGCAACAGACATCGATCGCGCCAGTCTGGACTTTGACCTATTTTGGAGACTGGATTTCTATACAAATCCCATCCTTTTGGAACCAGTACCTGGTGATGAAGCCCTGGGATACAAAATTGATTGCCTACAACATACCATTACTTTGCAGTTACCATGGAACAAACCCTTGAGACACAGCTCTGGCTGTGGTGTCTCACGTACCGCCCTCAGTGGTCTTATTGCTCGTATTCGACTCATTCTCACGGGCGTGTATCCACAACATCTTCATCTACCTCAAATTCAAGATCTCATTGGACTGATATCATCTCGAGACTCTGCTCTTGTGACCACAGATTCCGCACGCAAGACCATAATGACTGTTATCCACCAAGTCCATCCACATTTACAAGCGCGTGATGTTTTCAGATTCGCTTAACAAAAAGGAGTGAACAGCTTACTCAATCATTCTTAACTTGTCGCACTCTGTTGTTTTTTGCCAAATAGAGATACGCATGAGAATGTGATTTGTGTGTAGTAACTTATTCATGGCTGCATCAGTTCAAACCTTTCAATGTTGGGTTCAAGTCTGTCGCCATTTACAGACCATCGGATTTACCTCTACTCTACACTGGTTCTACTAACATGAATTGATCTCTTTTGCCCTTGTCCACAACAGCTGTCACAATTTCTCCATGTTAGACGTCGATTGTATAGTGCTCTGAGTGGTGTCGGGACCTCAGTTACCCCCAATCATGCTTTAGGTTTCAGAGTTCTAAATGCCTCAAGATTTTTGACACAGAAGATTTTTCGACAAAAATATTCGACATAATCACCTGACCAGAGTTATCAGCCCGGACCTCGGACGCTTTCGTTCACTGAATTGAATCCACCACGATCAATGGTCGGCGGCCTAGTCTTATGAAATACCGAAATCCAGACAGCGTTTTCACTCCTCTGTTAGTGTCTCGTAACATTTCAGGACAGCGATTCTGTTATTTGAGTGACAATGTGCGTCTGTCATTTTAACTAATTAATTTCTTTATAAGAGTATTCGACATAACAACCTGACGAGAGTTATCAGCCCGGACCTCACATGCTTTCGCTCACTGAACTGAATTCACCACAAACAATGGTTGGCGGCTTAGTCTCATGAAGTACCGCATTTCACACAGAGTTTTCGCTCCTCCATTAGTGTTTTTGTGAAGTTTCAGGACTGCCATTCTGTCACTTGAGCGACAGTGTGAGCTTGCCATTTCAACTACTCATGTAATTTCGTCATCGCCCTACGGGGCTTGTGTGTGTGTGAAACCCGTTATAACATACGGATATTTTACAATTTCGTACAACGAAGCAAGGAAGACAATATGTGGCGACAATAAGAACTGAATTTTAATTCAGACATGCAGGGGGCTGGAGTGTGAATCAGAAGTCTCCAGCCAACGAAGACGCTTCTGATGTCACAGTGATATCAACCTGGGACGCTGGGTTGACGTACCTGCAATGTTGGTTCGAACTTTTGCACAAGCTGTTCTATTACCTTGTTTTTGAGTCCTTTGGCAAGAATCGATTGCCCGAATTTCACCGTTTGCAACCGTGCCCCATCGAAGGTGACTTAGGAAATCAGGCGACGGCAAGTTCTACTCTCATCATCATCAAATCAACCTAAGCAGTGTGTGTGTGTGTGCTTGGGCTAAAGCTAATGGGGTTCATGTAAACCTAAACGTAGATTAGAATATATATATATATACACATAATATTAACATATAATATAATATATAATTCTATGGTTGGGTTAGGTGCAAATCCTTTAGCATGACATGGACAGTAAACAGTAAACACATAAAGATGAAGGGATGAACCTTCCCTTCACCCCAACTATCTAAGGATTGTTAAGGGACCACGTGTGCAGTAATAGGAATAACATGAAACACACATAGAACTATCCAAAACATGAAAAACAAAAACATCGCAAAAATGGGGCCTCCTCAGCGTCCCACTCTCTAAAAATAGCCATATGCCATACATATGTATATATATATATACATATATATATATATATCTCTCTCTCTCTCGTTCACCATGTAATGTAAGATGTTCAACTTTTGATCCATCAACAAATGCAGAATCCACACTTCCAAGTACCAGCAAAACATGTAAAAAACAGTTGGTGGTTTATCCACCATAATTATCCATGTAACTTCTATCTGGCTGATGGACCCGAAGTGATTGGAGCATTGATAGTCAAACAAAATAAGCTGGGAGGTTCGGCCCACTGTGACTCCTCAAGGTGCTTGAAACCTTTGAATTTGCAGGAAACATCAATGTTTCCCACCACTCTCTTGGAATTGTCCCAATGATTTATCACACATCCCATCAAATCACTATCAAATGGTGGCTATAGTCACCTTCAATGACTTTCTTAGACGACTTTCTGTTGTCATTGTTGTCCAAAAATGGGGTTAAAGCTAGTTGGTTGATAGGATTTACCATAGTGATCCATAGTGGATCGACGTCACGACTGGTCCTGTGGTTCGACCTCTTTGAGGCTGTCCTGGTGACAGAAATCATGGGGATTTCACCAAAACCGGTGACAAAATGGGATCACATCAATGGTGGTATAACATGAGAAAATGGTGGTATAATATAATGAGAAAATCATAAGAACATATACAGACAAAGTGGTGGTATAATGAGAAAATCATAAGAAAATCATGGGATAACATAAACACACGTAGCATAACATGATAAGATTTGACCGGCAGTTGACTTTTGGGGGATTTTCACTATCAACGATGCGGATTGAAACATACAAACAACAAACAACTATGGAAATCCATGGTTGTTTCCCTGATTAAAAAAAACACATTCATCTTGGATGTTCATGGATGTGCCATATCTACATTGTATTACAGTAGATGTATTAGATCATAGATCATAGTTTACTAGAGGCTACATTGACATGACTCAAATCCCTGGTGACTGTTCAACAGCCAGGTGGCTACACAGAGAAGGTCTCGCCAGAGCTGGCCCCGATGTGTAGGCACCACGCTGCGTTGTTGGCTTTGTTCCAGAAGCTTGGCAATGTCGGCACCTGAAAAGAATTGAAAAGCCAGAAATCTCTGGAAAACGTATGGTTGCTGGTAAGTATATCTATAGCTAGGTAGATCAATGGGAATATCAGCATGAATATGGCAATTTAAGTATATTGAAGTGATCAGTTAATCAATCGTTTTATTGTGACTCAAGGGGACCTTACTGGGATATAAAAGGAACATCAATGGATATAAATGGATACTGATCTGGATAGATGATAGCAATGCGGCGGGGCCCATGAAGGGCGCTTTGACATGGGGAACTCATTTATGGACATCCAGATTGCTGGCCATATTTGTCAGCATGAAAACAAATAAAAGTATCATCATCTTTGATGCTTAAAAGCATCCGTATTCTTTGTTGGTGTTTTACCTCTCTGCTTTGCGGTTCAACCTCCCTTCTTGGAACATCTCCCATGGTTCGTCGATTTATGTCGATTTAAATTCTGAACTCCTCATCCAATGGCACAAAATTTGGACGCATCATTCCACATAGGATGGGGGCAAGACATTTTGGACACTGCCGCAAGCCCTCCATCTGCTTTCCTCTGATCACCTGAGGCCTTCCAACCTTGGCTCGCCTCAAATTTCGGGTATATCAACTGTATATCTGTATATCCCTCTATCAAGAGCTGGTTCGTATACATTATGTATATAGTATGTATCATCAAAATGTATACATTATCTCAGTTCGATCCATTTCTGGCCAAACCCGAAAACTCGTAACTCGTCATGTCAAGTCAACAATTTTTGTTTACTCCTTGGCCTTGGCGACTCTGCTTCAACAAAGGCGAAGGCTCCAGGGGCTCGCTGCTTCGATGCCAGTTCCCCATGCGGGCGGAGCTACTGGTTGGGTATGACTACGGGTCAAACACATGGTCCATGGTTTTTACCATATTTTTGGGGTAAGTGGTAACAAGAAACAACAAATATTAGCTTGAATTCTGTGGGATCTAGCTTCTTTATGACAATGAATCAAACAGCTGCTGCACCTGAACAAGAATTGCCTCGGGTGGCTTGTTCACACCGGGACAAACGTTGGGAGCTTCAATAATAGTGGCATCTAGGGATGTGTAGCTAAAATAATCATGATCGGAAATACTCTAACTCAACCATGTTTCATCTGGGGGTCATAATATAATTTAATGATATTTAATGTATTTTATTGTATTTGAATGTGGCATCATGGGTTTTCTGACATCGTGCTTCACAAAACCTCGAGCCGAAACTGCCAGGAGCTTCTGTGGGACAGCACTTGCCCAGAATTGGAACAGCCTTGATACCAAACATGGAACCGCACAAACAATTCACGTCAATTCACTATGGATTTGCATCTGTCAATTTATTGGTGTAATACTCTGCGACTACCACGATTTTTGGTTTCAACATGCCATTTTCATTTTCCGAGTCCGAATGGTTCTAGACTCTGCTAGAGTCACTTCCGGGTTGCAGCAAATGGCCGGGAGACTATCTCATCGTGGCGAGCAAAACCCCATTGCACGATGGGAGAGCGCAGGTCTGATATCATTTGAGAGGCAACAGCATGGAAGGCCTATCATGCCAGCCCCAGGTTCATAAAACCCTGCCTAATTGATGATACTTCCCAAACAGACCGACAAGTACACTAAAAACACGCAAAGGGTGGGGAGAGACCAGTCGCCCATTTGCTGGCCCCAGCTAAATCCTGTCATCGTAAGGCATGATTCAAACTCAAAGCTGTTTGCCGATGTTCAACCGAAGCGTGCCTTAATTCTAAGACTGAATGCAGGTACTGCATGGTACTGCATCCTGTGCACAAAAAATACGCTGACCACTTATCTCCCCGGCTCCTCTGAACAGCCGAGCTGCCGCTGCATCCACTTCTCAGCTCGTTCCTCCTGTAGATGTAGCGCAGCACATGCACACCGTCTGTGACCAAAGAGCTATACCAAAACAGCTATACAGATATGGAGGCGTCTTAAGCCTATAGGTGCCATATCTCTACAATGGTCTTGAATGGTGGTTTAGCAACAGCTTACGGTATTTGTGCGATGCTCCATGTTGAGATACAGTAATTACATCTTCACACACACATGAATATCATCTGATTGTCCCATCCTGCTGTTCTGTTGTCCACCATGGTGCATGAACACCCCCACGAAACACTGAGAGCTGGTGTCAAACGAACAAGCTGTCAGAGCCGGGCTGCAGGTGCTTAAGTACGCCTCACACACACATATATAAATATAAACCTATCCGATATCCTCACAATTCAAAGCAGTGTGGTCTTCTTGCACCACCTATGGGGACTGGCTATAGCTATCTCATGCTATCTCTATACCTAGCTACCTCTATACATTGCACAGAACTTGAACATGTAATGCGGTAAGCCCAAGAATAAAGCAGAACATTACCATCTATGGGCGGCTTTTTAAAGTAAGCATCCCCAAATGGTAGTTATGGCCATGGCATTCGGCGTGTACCACAAAAACATGTTAAGAAAAGGAGGTCTCCTCGCCCCCTTGTTGACACATGGCGATGATGCTGGCATAGGCATGGCAGTTGGGTTGGCCGCTCGCTGACTCCAACCAATCCTTAGCTCTGTGAGGCTCAGCTTGGCCTCTACGGCTCGTAGATACCCTGAGAAACCCGGTGGTTTTTTCAATTTAGCTGGGCAACTGCACAAAACATGTAGCTTATATTTGTTTATCAGATTTTTGGACCATGTTCCAAGTTCCATGATGTTCCATAATGTTCCATGGCCAATCTATGCCAATCTGACCCGTGGCCAAGCAGCAAACCATGCTTCCGCTTGCTCCTGAGGCGCGCAGGGGTTCTTGCATCCATCAACTTGCTGAGTTTTGGTCTTGGGCATCATTTTATCAACGCTCCTTTGGCAGAATAGATCCTCAAAGTGCCTTTTAAACTTGCATTTACTTTCGCAACCTCCTGAGCATATACGATTATTAGCCACCTTTTCAGGGTATATAATTCCTGCCCAAATGGATCCAAATGATAGAATCGGACAAACAACATGTGATTCATCGTGGGCTGTTCCAAATTCATCCAAATTCTTCAGGGATCCTCTAGGCGGAAACTTGTCAGCATTCACAATTCTTTATGATGTTTCCAGAATTAGGGGAGGTGCCTCCTTGGATTGGTATTGAAGGAGCCCAACATAGTCCAACTGAACCTATCAAGGCTTATCTGCAAAGCTGATCATAGCTATCCAAACGATCGGGGCCCAAAAGCAGCTGCATGCAGTTGCCACATCTTTCATGGCAGCCCCTCAGAAGAAGCTTAAATTCTGGTTTCAACATGTTTCAGCATGTGTTTCAGCACATCCCCCACAAATATTGAACATGAATATCTACAGTAGGATTCAAACAGCACAAAAAAAACACATTGAAACCACCAAACAGTAACCGAATTGGGGCTGCGTCAACTCTTCAGCTAAGATTAGCCAAGTTTCAGTGCTCCCGTGTGCCGCCTGACCAGTTCTCGCAGAAAAGATCCTTTTTGATTACCATCTGGTCATTTAACAGTTTGCCATGGAAAATCACCATTTGTAATAGGTAAACCATCTATAAATGGGCCATCTATACCATGGCTATGTTAAATAACCAGAGGGTAAACATGTGTCAACCATGTTGAATTCCCAGTCTTGTTGGTGAACATCCCACCCGTCTTGGGACAGTTTGCATCTTTTGCAAAGCTCTAGAAGAGTTCCCTGTTTTGATTAGGTGAACCCACCTTTGTTTTACGGCTTGATATCCAAGTTGAATGTGGTAAACCCAAATTGTTGGCCCGAAACCCTTTGAGGTTTCAAAACCACCCAAATCACTGAGGAGACAAGATAAACATTGATTGTGGTTTGCAGCGTTGGCTTTGCCACATTAGACTAGATTACTAGATATGACTTAAGTCATGCCCTGGTCACAAATCCAGAAAAATCTAAAAATACCTGGGTTGCCTTCCCATCGGCCAAACAATGAACAAAAAACTAGCCATAACCCATAGGATCCATGCATGCTATATATGGTAACATTTACCATCCATATACCCCAAATGTTAGCATATATACCATACATGGATCCTATGGGTAACCATCCAAACCTCGGTTTTCGCGCCTGCATAACAGTGGTGAAGGTGACACCATCAGGCGCCAGCTGCTGCGATCGCAGCTCTCCGATCCACCGTGCGATCTCCGGCGCAGCGCTGTCGCTGTGGACCTCGGCTCGGGTCGGTGGAGCGGAGCTGTAGGGACCCACGATACAAATCATTACAAACACCATGATTCATAGAATTGGATGATGGGAAAATTTTAACCGGAAAACCCTATATTTGATGGTAAATTCCATGGTTTCCGGTTAAGATTTTCCCCTAAACCAATCCATTGAATGATAGGTGATAAAAACTCTGAAAAACTGTGATGAGTTTACTGTGATATACTGTGATCATCTTGAAACTTGATGATGATATGATGATGATATGATGGACATATATCCGGATTTGACACATCCAAATGGGGATCGAAGACGAGCAGTATCATTGAAATTTAAGCAACTGCACTGGTGAACAATATATGTTTTTTGAGATGTGAGACCAAACTGGGATAAGCATTGGTCCATCACAAGCCAGATTACCCTCTGGTAAACTGACATAACTACGGAAAATCACAATTTTTAATGGGACAACTCACTATAAATGGCCATTTTCAATAGCTATGTTGAATTACCAGAGGGTATACTAGATGGCGGATCTTCAGCCATGCGATTCCCAGTGAAAGTCTTGAACGTTGACCCACACTGAAGTTTTCTCCACGACGAAGGTTGGGGCTAGGAATGTAGATTTCACCAAGACATTTCGACACATCCATCATAAAATTTCAAATCATTCAAAGTAAGCACGAGATTTCGACTGGAGCCTCGCATTTTACATATGAAAATAAACCATTGGGTTTCGATCCAGCCGTTGGGGTTTGACGTTGCTTGGCTTCGACCTTGGATCGCATCCTGGAGTGGATAGCAAATATCCGTTGAGAAGTTTGAAACACTTTGGATCAAACGGTGGCATATTATCATAACATATCATAACTATATGTGTTATAAGTTATAGACTATAGATCCATATGATTCATATATGCCATTTTTGTTATATATTATAACAGTGTTATATTCTCCAATGTCAATTGATTGAATTTCTGTTGAATATGTTCTGTCCAGCACGATGAATCTGGCTGCCTGTTGAAAACCCGATAACAGGGGACCCCAAAGTGAAATACCGTAAACAAATTCAATACTCAAACATAGTGAGCGCGGTGTTTATGATATATATATTTATGTATATATATATAAACTATTGTATATATAGAGAGAGTATGTTCTATATATGTTATATGAGTTATATATTATAGTTATATGATGCTTTACAAAGACTATAGAGAGGAAAGGGACCAGCTGTAGCCCACCGCCCTCCGTGACACCAAAGGGACACATGCAGCGATGGCTGAATTGAAACTGATCAGATCCGGCTGAATGGACCAGGATGCCATACCTTGGCAGCCGGTGGCGTTGCCGGTGGATGCCGCTGGCCTCCTGGTCGAACCATCCTGCTGAACTGCTGGATTTTTTGGGGGTACTATAAGAGTTCACCAGGCGCCAGAAGCAATCATCCCAAAATACAAACAAAATGGTTGGCATCATTTTTGCGAAAGGTCTCGTTCTCCTTCGCCCTTCCTAACCGCACATTCAGCTATGGCACTTTGGAAGGTTCTCGACACAACCTTGGCATCTGACTTTGCTGCTTGCTGGATGCATCCGAAGAATTTTTGGGGCAACGCCTGTCAATGTCAACACCAACAGATATTGTACTGGTAGATGTGTCAAACCATCTTTTGGAGTTTCCCAGTTGCTGAGAGGAATGACAGGAACCCTCAACCTGGATAACTATGCAGTCTTCCCCCCAGAAGACGCAGTAATTACCCAGACACATCAGATCTTTGTCTGCAGGCCTTGAGAACCTCAAACTCCGAGGATCCAATGTGGCCCAAAAGTGGGCGTGCCATCTCCAATGTTGCCAGAAATGGCCATGCTACTACTACTGGGGAATACTGGGGATATAGCCCTCCGGTGACATAGCGATGGAAAACAACATTTTTTTGTAGCATTTTGTAGCTAAAGCACCTATACATGGGCAATTTACCATAGCTATCTTAAATTACCAGAGGGTACCAGAAATGGCCATTCCCAATTTCAGGATCTTCAAGGTCTACAAGGACATGCTTGTGTTTCAGATGCTTCAGGGTCAGGAAATCTTCCCAGGACACCTCAAAGCCATCACTTGTGGCACGCGAGCCGTCCCTGAGCCGAGGACGGAATTGAAAGTGATCAGCTTTGGTTCGATCCTGAGCCAGGATTCTGATGGCGAAATGGCCCAGATGGACCCAGTCCCTGCACTCATGGAAGCCGGGCTGGAGCCACATGTGGAGCCGCAGAAGCTGGAGTTGGAAAGGGAAATCATCATCAATGGTGCTCCAACTACTTAGATATTGTGATATTGCCATCAGGCCATAATTGATTGAGTTCTTGGTAACTGGACTTAAGTGGATTATAAATTATAAGCAATAAATGTTTATAACCCGTTTACAACCGGTATCGAGATATACCCCAGTTGCTAACCAGCTAATTCTCCATTAGTTTGGACGTGTTTGGCCCAATACCTACTTGGACCTAGTGGTTGCTGGTCATCAACTTGATCATTCCAAATTATTCATGGTCAATTGTGCTCAATCCCATGTTTCCAGAGAAAGTGTTCTGGTATGGCTATGAGTCAAGAGCCAATAGCCTGGTTGAACCTCAAAGCAGCCTTCAAGTGGATGTTCATCTCCTTAAAAATGTTATATGTATATATAGCTATTAATTAACACCAAAACAGTTGAAATTTAGTGTCACTGTATGGATGCCCATTTTTTCTGCAAAATACGGTATCAAGTATAACCCCCCTGGTAATTTGCTACATCGCAAATCAGAAGTAACATATGTATATATGGTCCCGTCCTCCGTCTCTCCACCCCCCCCCTTGGGTTGGGTCCCCAGGTAGTAGCCCCAATTCCCTTCTATTTGCAAGCTATTGGCAGCATTTCTGAGGTCCAGCGTCGTATTTGCTAGGTCTTTGCAGCATTTCTGACTACCAGCCTCGCATTTACTAGGTACATGCTACCTTTTAGGCGACCTACGTAGCACACATACTCCTTCAAAGTACCTACGTGCTACCTATAGTCATACATACATGTGCTATGTATCTACTGTATCTACTTCCTGTTTACTACCTGTGTACTCTGACAACACTACCTCTGTTGAACATATACCGTACCTACCATACATGTCAATGATGCCATGCATACCATACCTATCATATCTATCATACATACCATACATACCATACATATGAAATGTAATTACCACACCTACCATACATACAATAGCATACATACAATAGCAAGCATACATGCCATACATACCATACCTACCTTAGATAGGACATATTCCATACCCATCATAGTAACCATACATACCATACAGACCATACATACTGTCATATCAAACATACCATATCCAACAGACTTACATACCATACCTACCATCCATACAATACCAACCACTCATGCCATACATACCATACCTACCATACATACCAAACATACCATACTTTCCAAACATGCCATACCAGACCGACCATACACACCATACATACCCACCATACCATACCACACCCCCACCACACCACAGGGGGGGGAGGGGGACAGTGCCACACCCCCACCACACCACAGGGGGGGGAGGGGGAAGATCTCATATGGGACCAGTATATGGGACCCATCCACCACACCACAGGGGGGGGAGGGGGACAGTGCCACACCCCCACCACACCACAGGGGGGGGAGGGGGAAGATCTCATATGGGACCAGTATATGGGACCCATCCACCACACCACAGGGGGGGGAGGGGGACAGTGCCACACCCCCACCACACCACAGGGGGGGAGGGGGAAGATCTCATATGGGACCAGTATATGGGACCCATCCCATATGGGGGGGGGAGGGGGGGGGTGGCAGGGCCTGGTGCATATATACAGTGTATTAAAATCAAAGAAAATCAAAGGTATATATATATATATAAATATCAAATGTTAAATGGTCCCTGTTCATCCCACCATTTTCCCGAGCAAATTGTGACATTACTGGAAGGTAATACATACATGCCATACCATACCATACCATACCATACCTTACATTACATTACATTACATTACATTACATTACATTACATTACATTACATTACATTACATACACGTACATACATACATACATTACATTACATTGCATTGCATTACCTTACATTACATTACATTACATTACATTACATACATACATTACATACATTACATACATTACATTACATTACATTCATTACATTCATACATTCATTACATTCTTTACGTTCATTACATTCATTACATTCATTACATACATACACTACATTACATTACATTACATTCCGTTACATTACGTTACATTAATACATACATACATACGTACATACATACGTACATACATACATTACATTACAGTACATTGCATTGCATTACATTAATACATACATACATACATACATACATACATACATACATACATACATACATACATACATACATACATACATACATACCATACATACATACATACATACATACATACATACATACATACATACATACATACATACATACATACATACATACATACATACATACATACATACATACATACACATACATACATACATACATTACATACATACATACATACATACATACATACATACATACATACATACATACATACATACATACATACATACATACATACATACATACATACATACATACATACGAACATACATACATACATACATTACATTACATTGCATTACATTACATTACATACATACATACATACATACATACATACGAACATACATACATACATACATTACATTGCATTGCATTACATTACATTACATTACACACATACATGCATACCTACCATTACATTACATTACATTACATTACATTACATTACATTACATTACATTACATACATTACATACATTACATACATTACATACATACATTACATTACATACATACATTACATTACATTACATTACATTCACATACATACATACATACATACATACATTACATACATTACATTACATACATTATATACATACATACATTACATACATTACATACATTACATACATTACATACATTACATACATTACATACATTACATACATACATACATACATACATACATACATACATACATACATACCATTAACATACATACATACATACATACATACATACATACATACATACATACATACATACATACATACATACATACATACATACATACATACATACATACATACACCTTACCTTACATTACATTACGCTACATTACCTTACATTACATTACATACAGTACATTACATTACATTGCACTACACTACACTACACTACATTACATTACATTACATTACATTACATACATTACATACAACAACTACGTACATTACATACCATACCATAACATACCATACCATAACATACCATACATACCATACCATACCATAACATACCACACCACACCATACCATACCATACCATACATACCATATATACACATCATACCTTACATACATTACATATCATACATACATTACATTACATTACGTTACATTACATTACATTGCATTACATTACATAAACCTACCATAGCATTACATTTAACAAATACATACAAAATTACATAACATTACATGACATTACATAACATTACATGGCAATACATAACATTACATGACATTACATGCATTACATGCAGTATATAACATTATATACATGACATTACATGACAATACAAAACATTACATACATACAAATATATTTTCAGAGTAGTCTATCATACTCTACCTATTAAAATATGGAATAATAAACTTGGTGAACCTCTGGAAGACTAAATATATATATATATATGTATATCACACGCACACTAATATATACATATATATATATATTTATTTATTTATATCATATATGAATAGGCTATAGTTGATGCCATCTCCAGTTCCCATTCCTTCCCATCGATTTTCCATTTCCAGGCCGCCTCTCGTGCATCATCTGCATGAGCCACCGTTCGGCAGCATCCGAATCTCCCCGCCGCGCGCAGGCGTTGATGACCTGGGATGCACTGCCATCATGGCTACGGTAGGGACCTACTCCACTTGAATTAATGTATCCTGGCAAAAGACTAGCAGCAAAAAAATAGGTAAATCAAAACGTAAATCATAATTGAACAACACAGGGCTGACAGTACATAACCAATATTTACATGCGCTTGCTTTATATACCCTCACTTTAGGGTTGATCATTCGAGATCACTGGCAGAATAAATTCCACCACCAGGGTGTTGCTACTCTGCGGGTGACATTCAGCCTAACAACCCCGCATGAGCTTGCCAGCGGCCAGGGCCCACCCAATGCACAAATCTTCTTGGTATCTCTACCATTTTACAAAACAGAGGCCTCTTAGATAAGTTGACCTCTTACTTGATTCACTGTCGGGTTTATGGGGGGTGTGACATGATATAACTGTATGACTGTATAACTATAGCATTATTCATTGGGTTTATAAACCAACTTATAACCGGGGGACCACTGACGTTTCTGACCACTGATTTGATGAAAATTGGAGCACCAAGAGGCAGAATTATAGGTCACCACATTTGGATGCAGCCGCTCCTCCCATGCGGTTGGCAAACTCAGTACACATTCCCAACCCACAGGACATGTCCGATGTGAACATGTTGTAGTCATACATTGGTTGTTAGGAGGTGAGAAAAAATCAATGAGCACATGATACCTGCCTCAATCGTTCACCATCAAAAATGTGGGGTTTTGCCATCAAAACTTATGTACATCTATTTCAGCTTGATACTTGTGATGTTCAATTATTTTTGCTGTTTCAATCACCATTTAGGGTTTGGTCAACTCCTATGTCATCCCTCTATTTTTCTGGTATAAACCAGGTCGAAATCCACATCTTGGCTGCCACCCCGGTACCGAAAAAAGGCACTCGTCAGTCCGAGCTGTCCTCTTCAGCCCGGCAATGCCAACGAGCCGCGGCCCTGCTATCTCCAACTTGGGCACATGCGTCAATGACCTAGGAAGCATTGATCAATGGATTGGTTTATTAAGGGAATAATCCCATTAAACCCCTAGGAAACATTATATATATATATTGGACCACTATTGATATATATATGGATATATGGACCATTATATAGTATCCCATTATTGAACCATTATATCCCTAGGAAGCATTGATCAATACAGGAAAGGCCCCAGATTTCGTGGGAAAATCCATGGCTTGCGGTTTCGATGCTCACAAACAAAAACCACTCCATCGACGAATGGCGGAGTTTTTGGCACATGTTTCATGCGATAAATTTTGGTGAAGTCATTCGGGGGGTTCATGATGGAAAACAATGATATTTCAGCAGGAGAAGTGGTGAAATTGATTGATATGGATGAGATATGATATGATATATCATAGTAATCCCGTAATGCCATATATAATATCATCTTAAATTCATATCCCATCCATATCAGAGTCATCGATTTTTGAAAATCATGAGATTTGATATGGGGTACTGATCATGATCTTACTGGTGCTTAGCAGGGAATGAGGGAATGATCCACAATAACTAGTAATTATCATCCCAGCAACCCCCATTCCCATCCATTCCCTACGTAAAACGCACCAGTAAGTTGATCATTCCCATCATTCCCATCCATTCCCCTACGTTTAGCATTCATATCCCATAATATCAGAGTAATCTATATGTTTTAATCATCATTTGATATGGGATATTGATGGATATTGATCATGATAGATTCATGATGTAAACAAAACCAACACAACATGGGATCAACGACAAGGATCCCCTGATGTCCCATTGGGAGATGGCAATTGCACGCAGCGTCACAACATGGCGATTGGATCAAATAACTAAGTGGTGACCAATGGATTTAAGGCAACTATATATATAATACATATAGAGATAGATATAAATTTATAAACACACACATATATATACACAAATGATATATATATATGTATGATATGTATATAAATATATTGATCTTAAGGGGAGGAAAAAAGGAGTTCCCAAGACTATTCACAAAAAATCAGCTCAGCTGCGGCTGCGTAGGCCCAAATGTCCAGAGCCTCAATCTGCACATCCCGCGAACTTGAAATCATCCGAACAACGATGACCATCTGGTTATGACTAACATAGCCATGGTATAGATGGCCCATAGAAATAGATGGTTTACCTATTATTAATAGCATGGTGATTTTCCATGGCTATGTTAGTCATAACCAGAGGGTAAACTAACTTCAGTTCGGCGTTGGCAAAGAACATCATCTTTGGAAGACATAACGTGAAGCATCCAATGAAGGAACTCCATAGAACTCCATTCATCTGGGCATATTATGAGGTCGACCAGTGAGGACGCTATACTTTGCTGAACAAATCATGGACCACCCCGACCAACCAAAAATATATCAGCGTAGTGACGATTATTTTCTCTTTGGTAAGACAGTAGTAGTCAAAAGGGCCCAAGTAAACAAATATGTGCCTTAAGAGGATCTGATCCATAAATGATTTACAAAAAAATGATAAAAAAGACTATGTCATGGATGTCAACTTGGACGAATTACTGCCTGGTAATTTGGAATAGACGGAAGTACAGTAGTCAAACAATGGGTGCTTGAAGCCGTTGCGTGTTTTGTCATACGTAAAAGGTGACACCTCAAGACATTATGTGCTGTATACTTGTGGCATGATTGCTTAGTCTTAGTTTATCAAATAGCAAACGAATCACATGTATAAATATATGAGGTATATCACTACTGCTGTAGATAGTGTAATTAAATAAACACACACATATATATGTATATATATGTATATCAGGTATATCTAGAATCTATTGTATATGTAGTTATATATATAACTATGTCCAATGTTGTGCTTGATCATGCTCCTTCAGAGACCAAGTGAATTATTCCAACCTCAGTTCCGCTGTTACACCTGGGCGACCCTGCAGCCCTGCGTGCCCTCAATGTCTCAAGCCAATGACCGCGCGCTTCTGGAGCTGCAGCACCTGAAAACATGGTGATTTAAGCGCTGAAAATGATGATTCATGATCCTTTTTTTTGATGATTTATGGATATTTAAGTACCTAACAATTTGTGACTGATGTTGACTTAACAACCAAAGTGGGAGTTAACCGTTAACCAATTGGGATTGTGGCAGTGGATCTGGATGAATTGCAATGCACATCCTTCACGCCTTCACGGTGATTTCGGCCTTTTATCGGCCCGTATCGATCACATTTTCCAGGTAGGTCGTGCATAGATTTCCACATGGCATATGCACACACATAGTTCATTTATACAGGAATGTATGAATACACTAATACATGTATATATATATATATGATGTAATCATCTACGCGTTCCAGTCATTGTAGGTTATAAATGGTTCTGTCAGATTCCGTTCTGCCGTGCCACGAATCAGGCAGCTGCAACTGACAACGTCAGGCTGCACTGATGCCTGAGATAATCTGGGGCAGTGGGCGACCTCCAAACATTGCGACCTCACCGGTTGGGTCCCTAAACCAAGAGAACGTGGCCATATGTGCCCGTGAAATGCTTGCCATACTTCGGCCAGTGAAGCTTTTTATCTGAGTGACATCCTGATTTTCAAAAAATACATTCATTGATATAGTGTATACTGTATATATATATGCTATATAATGCTATATAATGCTATATATATATATATATCAATGTATAATATGAACATGAAATGTGTATATGCATGTATATACAATATATTTGATATCATGCACCATGCCTTCCCAAAAAGAAGATCTGCCCGGTGCCCCCATGACTTAGATCACAGCTGATAACCGGATGGATAAGCGTTACTGACGGATGTACCATCCGCTTAATGGTTGTAAGTAACGGTTAGTAACTAACCATAGACATAACATGTTCATGCTTAATGGATGTTAATGGTTAGTAAGGCTTAGTATCTATATAGTCCTTTGATCTCTCTCTCTCTCTATTTCATCTGCGGTCCTTTATTGAAGGTATTTAATGTGGCTTGATGCTCCCGTCAAGCACATGAACTCATTTCCGGTCCCAGCTAAGTTCAATGATCATGCTTGGCTCACTGGAAAATCACATTTTTGTTTTGCCAAAAAGAACGTCGGTGCGTATATACCCTCTGGATCCCTCTGGTAATTTAACATAACTATGGAAAATCACCATTTATAGTGAATTTTCCCATGAAAAATGGTGATTTTCCATAGATATGTTAGTTTACCAGAAGGTAAAAGGAATCTCCAGCCCCCCAGATGATCAAACGAATTCAACAGGAAGAAAATCTCTTTTATGCCAGGTGACTTCGCACGATTCCGCATGTCCACTCAAACAAATCCCATGTTCAATCGTTAAAATTCCCAGCTACAAATATAGGCATCGCCATCCTATGTCCTGTTGGTTGTTTTAATCCTATGTTTGTTATTGAAATCACCGTTTATATGCAATGGTCACATCCACATTTACAAGTGTCTTTTAAACTTTTAAAATGCTCCCTTACATGCAAATGCAAGCGTGCTGGGCCTACCAATGTTTCCCATTTACAGTTTACCCTCTGGCACCATTGTTCATACGTAAATCATCTATTTCTATGGGCAATGTTTATCAATTTTCCATAGCTATGTTGAGTTACCAAAGGGGAATTCCCATAATTTATATCCATGTTTGTTGGTTCTCCTTGGTTCTTTTCCCATGATTAAACATTATTACTAACCATAATTACCAATGAATAACCATTACGAACGGTATTAAAATCATGACCAAACATTAACCATTGTCCCAACCATTATTAATAAACATCATTAAAAACCCATTACTAATATCCCCACTAAGTTTTCATAGCACACCCAGTCCGTCAGTGCGCCAGCGCGCACCTGCAACATCTTCTGCAACCATTCCTCCGCCGCGTTGACATCCCCGGCACGAGCCATAGCATCCAACCTCAGAAGGCCACAAATGTATATATCAATCTATCCATCCAATCTAATCTAATTTAATCTAATCTAATCTATCTACTCTAATCACTCTAATCTAATCTAATCTCATTTATCTAATCAGTCTATCCATCTAATCTAATCTAATGAAATTTAATCTAATCAAATCTAATCTATCTACTCTAATCTAATCTAGTCTAATCTACTCTAATTTCATCTAATTTATCTATATAATCTAATCTAATCAAAACTAATCAAATCAAATCTAATCTAATCTAATTTATCTAATCAAGCTATCCATCTAATCTAATCTAATCAAATTTAATCTAATCTAATCTAATCTATCTACTCTAATCTAACCTAGTCTAATCTAATCTAATTCAGTCTAATCTAATCTAATCTAATCTAGCTACCCTAATCTAACCTAAACTAATCTAATTTAATCTAATCTATCTAATCTAATCTAATCAAAACTAATCTAATCAATCTAATCTAATCAAAACTAACCTAATCTAATTTAATCTAATCTATCTAATCTAATCTAATCTAGTCTAATCTAATCTAATTTAATCTAATCTATCTACTCTAATCTTATCTAGTCTAATCTAATCTAATTTAATCTAATCTATCTACTCTAATCTTATCTAGTCTAATCTAATCTAATTTAATCTAATCTATCTAATCCAATCTAATCAAAACTAATCTAATCTAATTTGATTTATCTAATCAATCTATCTAATCTAATCTAATTTAATCGAATTTAATCTAATCTAATCTACCTACTCTAATCTAATCTAGCCTAAACTAATCTACTTTAATCTAATCTATCTACTCTAATCTAATCTAGCCTAAACTAATCTAATTTAATCTAATCTATCTAATCTAATCTAATCAAAACTAATCTAATCTAATCTAATTTATCTAATCTAATCTAATTTATCTAGTCTATCTAATCTAATCTAATCTATCTATCTGCCCTTTTTTAATATATATATATGTCATCATCTGATGTGCATGTATTTAAATATATCTTGCTCTGGGACAGTCGGTCTCTGCAGTGCAGCAAGGAAACACAGAGTTGTAGCCTTGGTCAAAAAAGGCAAGGCCAGATCTGTAATATCAAAGCACCACTAAGGCTTGCTTTGTTTTGGGTATACATACCCCAATTGCCACTGGTATAACTACCGGGTTATATACCATGCCCGATTGTTCTCTCTTTTTTGTATCAAACAAGAATTGTTGACGGATTGGCACATATGGACCGACCCCAGTATCTGTCACTACCCGTAGCGACCAACAACGGGATATTTCACCAGCATTGACCAAGGAAAACAGAAACTACAATCACAGGATGCTGGTGAGATCTCCAATGAATGGCTTAGAACTTATATTTCACACCCCTTTAGAATAATCACTTCTAGAGTGACCAACTGATGTAGAACACTTCGCTGTCAATCTACTCCGGATGCAGTCCCTGCGTGAATTTATGTAGCTGAATCCTCTTTGGGAATATCCCTGAAGCCAAAGATCAAAACGCTTGGCTCTCAACTTCTTAGAACATGATGGTTGAGCCCTGTTGAAATGTATATAAACCCAATTGAACCCATAAACTCCTGGGAATGGAATATCAAACCATCATCGCCTCCCAAGCACATGGCGCCCTTGCACAATCAAAGCAAGCCAGTACTCAAACATGTCTGGCAAGCAGATCCCAAGTGCAAATCCGGAAATAGATCAAAGAACACGACCTATGTCTCCATGATACTGGATGACATGATGATCTTGGAAGTATGGTATTGCTTTTTTTTTCCCCACGGGCAGGTGAAATTCCCCTGGGAGTTTACCCTCCGGTAATCAAACGATATCAAACGGACAACGGAAAATCCATCATTTATAGATGTTTTCCTATGATTTTCCCAGCTATAAACTTCCATTTCCAAGCCAAACACGTTTGATGACCAGAGTGAAAACCTCCATCAACCTCCATAAGTTAGAATATCACCCATTTTTTCATTCTAGTAGACCTGGAGCCTAGGTCTACCTGGCATACTTTAGGGTCTTTAGGTGGCGATGTATCCACTTCGGCCGGGGTCGAATTTGTCACCCAGGCGCTGATGGCATCAGGCTGCATCTTCGCCTCCAATTCGGCAAAGGCATTCAGGGCCGACTCGACAGGGTCCAAAGATTTGGCGCTCACGTTGATCAGGCTGTTGTAGCCTTGGCATACCCGAAATGGGGCTTGATGGGAACAAAAAATGTGGAGAACGGATCAAAGAAATCACTGAAATCACTGGTCTCAATCTGTGATGATACAGATACCTCGGCACGTAAAGGTATATAAAAAGGTAGAGAACAGTAAAAACATCTAAAATCTGACCAAACATGTAATGGCATTTTGATGCATTTTGGAGGTTGTTGATATGGTTCCGAGCATCTCCAAAGTAGACATGAACTATATTCAACAAGCTATCTACTTTGGGGCCTTTGGGGCCTTTGGGGCCTTTGGGGCCTTTGGGGCCTTAACGGTTTTGAAATCTCGGAGCTTCTTCATATCCCAAGTCCAAGGGGAGAAGCCCAAGGGCTTGTGATAGCGTGCGACGCCAATGTTGAACACCGGACTCTTCCACATCCATACACCAATATAGTCTTGCAATTTGCAATTTGATTGGGGTAAACCAATGCCATCTGTAAACTTTTTTGTGGATGACTCTTACGACCCATTGATTTCCATGGCAATCTTGTGGACGCTAACCATGGCATTGGGTGTAGCATGGTTGACAACTTCTTGATTTCATCCCATCACCAGGAGTTCGGCCAGTTGCTCCGCAAGTTGGGCGTCACTCGAGCTTCCATGGCCTTTGAGATCAAGTCTCGGGCTTCCTGGCGGCGGAGTTGAGTGGACCTGGGTATGCCCAGATTATCCAATGCTAATGATATCATTTAAATTCATTGTATGTTATCCTAAGATGATCGAATGTTATCCTGATATATCCTGATTGATTTCCATTTTCATATCATGTGGACTGCTGTTTCCAACTGATTTCCGGACGTGGCCAGGCGTTTTTGAGGGGTCGCCATGGCACAGCCTGTAGCATCCCCTTGGAGCTCAAAGCGTCCAAATACCTCAGAGCTTGCGGGTGATGTTTTCCTTGGATGAAATCTTGGTCTGTGGATGGCGCTAAAAAGAGCTGTTAGGGCATACATGGGCATACCCAGCTGCTGGTTGTAGCCCACGATGTCTGGGAGAAATCCTTGCACCAATGCTGCGAGTCATGGATGGATGTTTTCAGACAAAAAAACAAACCGAAAAAAATAGAACAGTAACGTGTCACTAATTTTAGACGGAGTTTAATATTCCATCTTTTTTGGGTGTCATTAGACAGCATTTTTCCGGCAGCAATGCAGCGGTCTGAATTGTTAGAACCTGACACCCTAACTCAGGCTGTTTCATGATGTTCGCTTGGTGGTTTGTTGATGCCATATCATCTACTCAAGTTTGATTTCGATGGTGGGGTATATAAAACTTAACTATCCCTGGAAAAGGCACGACAAGGATCTTTAAGGGCACGATTCTCTACGTCTATAAATGTGGCTGCAATCTTCTATATAAAGCCCCAATCTCGAAGTCAACCCCAAATCCATCCAGTCTGGCTTCATGTTCAACGCCAAACCTAGGATTTTCAGCTGTAGAAATCTCTGATTTCAGGCTGCTAGGCATTCCGAAACATCTTCACGATGCAACATGAAGCCATTCAACTAGCAGCTAACTAGCATATAACTACCATTCCCAATCGCCACGCTTTCCCGTGGGAAAACCCATGGGATTTTCCCAGCCGGCGGATCGAGAGCCGCTCCGCGCCTTGCTTTGGGGCTTCAGTGAAGAGCCAGAAAGCTCCGCTGCTGAGATCTCCGGAAACGAAGAAGGCTTGGGCCATCCTTATCTGGTGCAAAATGGGGATTTCCCACTGAACTAACCTGGTTTTATATGGTTAATATATGGTTAATGATGATGGTTATTATATGGTGAATATATGGTTAATAATGGTTATCTGGCTGGTGGTTGACCTACCCCGTGAAAAATGATGGAGTTCGTCGCTTGGGATGATGACATTCCCAATATATGGAAAGTCATAAATTCATGTTCCAAACCACCAACCAGTTATTTTTTGGGGCAGGAAATTCAGGGGAAGTCCCCCGAGAGTTGGGTGATACCCTCTGGCAAACGTTAACAAAAAACTATGGAAAGATCCACCATTTTCAATGGGTAAATCCACTATTTCTATGGCCACTTTCAATAGCTATGTTAGTCATTACAAGAGGGTAGATGGTGGATGATTATCAGAAAGGTGGAGATTTTACAGAGGTTCTGATGGCGTTAGTCCAAAGCCATTGAGCGACTTGCGACTTTTTGGGTGGAGTTCACGGTTCATGGCTTTAATCACCACCAAGTGATGTTTGACACCGATAAGGACAAATTAAAATTAAGGAACACATAGGAAACCAATGAACATCCGATCCACTGGACCTTTGAAACTCAAAATCACACAGGAATTCCAAGCAATGACCAACAACCCTTGGTCAAGTGACAAAAAACTAGCGACATAGCACAACGGATTGGAGATGGCCAGCACCATGTCGTGGAAGATCCCCACCTTTTTTTTCCTAATCGGACGTCTACCGTACTCACAATCACATTCACCAACTGGCCGTCAATCATTCACCAAGCATTCACCAGGACAATCACTGAAATTTCAGATGAAATTCTCGTGTCTCAATCTGAGCACTATGGCCAAACTATCCATATATATGTAAAGGCCATCAAATCCATCAATTTATGGGGCTGCCGATGGGTACCGGGTACCGTTTTTTTAAGGGGGTACCCTTCCCATGGACGTCCCCCATCGTTCAAGTCTCATGTTGTAGTGATCCAGGTCTGGCGCGAAGTTCGCCTGCAGCTCTCGGAACCAGTGCAGGGCGCGCTCAGCT